TATTCAAGGACTTCAAATTGATATGGTGTTTGTAAGATACGAATATAGTATATAATATGAAAGTTCACAATATATAAGTTAAAATTACAAGTTGATTTGTTCATGGATTGGACTAGATTAGGATAGTTCAAGCTCAGCCGAAAAAAGTTCATAAGTTTGGTTCACAATCCAAGACATATATTATTAAATTATTTTATAATATAATTTAAATAATACTGAAAGATTTCTATATTTCAAATACAGTATCCATCAAACATATTTTTATGTTAAATAATTCTCATATTTTCTAAAATGTATTTTTATGTCAAATTAATAAAACCATTCTCATTCTTATGTCAACACTGTAATTTTTTAACACACACACACACAAATATATAGTGTACTTTTGCTTAACAAAAGTTCCCCTAAATAATTAAAAGCACTCTTTGCTTCTTCTACTTCTATTTTTCTAAAATTCAACTTTATTAACTAATTGTTATAGTTAATTGAATTTGATTTTGCAAGCTAATTAATACACAATTAAGAAAGAGTTCAGAACTTATAATATGAAAAGTCACCATCACTATGAGCAATAATATTATTTTGCAGTGAGATAGTTTGAGAAAAAACTTGAAATTTGGTATCTGATCATAGATATATATAAGATTGTATGTTAGGATGTAAACCTTTAGAAAATATAAAATATTTTAAAGGTGTAAAATTAAATTATTAAAAAATATAAAAAATTTAAATACTATAAAAAATTTAAAATTTTCAGAAGAAATAATTGTTTCTAACACCTTTTCAGTTCATCTCCAGTTCCGTCCCATTAATTGTTAATTGTAAAGATAAAAAATTTATTGTCATGATATTAGGCTACAATTAACAATCATACAAGATATTAACAAAATTATTAAGATATTTAAAAAAAATAAAAATCAGTAAAATAATTGTCAATATTGTATTTTCGTTGACACTAAAAATACAATAAAAAAATGATTTTCAACCCTAATTTTCTCGCCTTTTTCTTGTGATGTGATTAGTCTTTTTTTCTTCTTTATCTTTGTCATTTTCGACGACACCATTCTTAGTGTTAGTTATCGACTATCAGTATTCATTGTTTTTTTCTTTATTTTATTTTATCATATCATTGTTTTTTTTCTTTTTTAAATTTTTTTATAACTTTGTCTTTATGATATGTTTTCCTATACGTTTATGACACATTTCCTCTATCTTTTGGCATATTTTTAGTTGTTTGACCATTATTTTTGTTTTATATTTTTTTCTCAAGATTGGATTTTTCATCGCCACGACTGATAAAGATGACACTTATTTGTTAACATGCTGATCTTCCATGCTTTGGACCTCGGATTGGATTTGGATAAGTATTTTGCGTTTGTGGATAGTATTTTCATGTTGTTCAATTTTGAGTTATGGTTTGTTGGTGGTGTTTCAATGGCTTTATCATATTTTTTGTTCATTTGTCAATGCGATTAGATCTGTTCCTATCTACCTTTTATTCAAGTTTATTTGATTAGGTTTTTAACATTTTCTTTGTTTTATCCATGTATGATCTTAAGTGACTAATTTCTCGTGTTAATGATTATAAGAAAATATTCTTATTATGTGTATTAATTTACGATTATGGCTGTAAACTTTTATTGTAATTTTGATATTTTTCTATTTTAATAAAACTAAACGATTCAATCTAGTTAAAAAATAATTATCAATATTTTAACTGTGTTTGTAAGATTGCTTCAAATAACATTCTAATAATATCCTAAAATTATTCAAAAGTTTGTTACAAAATTGAAACATTCAAATGTTTGAAAATTAATATAGAACGAGGTTACAATTTAAAGATGAATATAAAATGCATAAAAGTTTCAGAATTAATTTAGAATTAGTCAGAGTTTGAGGATGAAAATGAAATGTTTAAAAGTTTTTAATAGTAACTTAAAATAAAAGTGATAATTTGAAGATATATAATATAGTTAACCCTTGATAATTATACATGTTTCATATTTTGATAACCATGCAATCGGTGGACACTGAATTGAATGTTATTGAAATATTTAAAATGCACTTTTCACTTTGTACGGATGTTGAGAATGAGAGGAAATACTTTTGCAAATAGTAGCAATGAACTTCAAACGTTTTATCATTTTTAATAAAAAATCCAATTAAATTGTGTGTGCCAATCAAATATATCTAAAGAATTAGAACTTATTAGGTAACTCCTAGAATCGGGTCAGGAGTTACAACTGAATCAGAGTAATAACACTGACCTCAGAAATAGTTTACAGATGAAAATTTGTTTAATAAACTATTTTAAAAATGTTTACCAAATACAATATCAGAATAAACTCTTGTCACAATTTAAAGAGGCTGAATGGAAAAATTTAACCTCACACAATATGAAATCGAGACTAATATGATAGCCAAATCGGTTATACAAATGGATAATTTGAAAATAGAAACAAAAACAAAAACAGAGTGAACTACAAAGCTCAATGTGTCCACTAGATATGATCATATAATGTTAAAATGCAGAAAAATCAAGCATATAATAATAACCATACGATATTAAAGTTTAAATATTTTACCAGTAGAATGTCGCAACAGAATTTCACAATATTACCTTTTGTTTCAAATTATCAGGATATAAATGTCACCTTACAGAGAGGTGCTCAAACAGAATACAAAAATCAGAATGAGGATGTAGCCTTCCGTAGAGGATCCTAGCATAAACAAAAATCAGAATAGGGATATAAACCTCTGAAGAGGATTCCAAATAGAAAACCAGGACGAGGATTATGCCTTCCATAAAGGATTTCATGCAGAATCATGACGGGGATGATGCCCTCTGTAGAGGATTCATGCAGAACCAAGATGAGGATGATGCCCTTCGTAGAGGATCCTATGTAGAATCAAGACAAGAATATAATCCTATACAGAATCAGGAATGCAATATATAAATTAAAAGTGATGCAATATTAATCAGAAATCAATCATAACCCAGATAAATGTAACCAGAATGCATACATGCGTACAGATAACATCATACATCATAATAGCATAAAATAATAAAGATATCAAATAAGTGAATGGGAACACGCCTATAGTATTCAATCTATGTCGACTTAACTTTATGCTTCCCACGATCGGTAATACTAGGTCATGCTACCTAGGATCCTAATAATAACATACTACCATATAAGTACAAAATCATATATCCAAGCAGAAACATACTATTATACAACTAACTAAAACTTACACACATCTCGATATAAACTAGTAGAATCGAACTTAGAGAAACAGGGGTGATCAGGATCCACTAGAGAGTGGTCCGGAGACACGAGTACATCTTCAGAAAATAACACTAAAAAGTGATTACAATATCTCACATTTCACATAACAAAATTAAGACTTTAAGCGATAAACAACGTAAAAGAAGGCTTTCGAGTCAAAATTTAGCAAAATAGATTGTTAAAACAGACTCAGAACATCGAAAAACATAAAGATAAGGGTCTAGAAAAAAGTCAATGGGTCAAAGTGAAAGTCAATGGGTCAAAGTGAAAGTCAACAGTTAAAGGTCAAAGTCAACTATCAACAAAAAGTCAATCGTTAATAGAAAAGTCAAATGGTCGATTGGTCAAACGGGATGGTTCAGGCACACTGGTTCAGTCAGGTCGGCTCAATAACTTGAACAGACAGTTGTGAAACAACTCCCACATGCGTAGCGGTGGCGCGTGGGAAGGACTTCAGTGGGCGAAAAATTTCAAATCCAATTTTCAAGGCATGAGAAGTCTCGTATTAGCCTTATTTTACGATGATGAACGATGGAGACGTGATTCCCTGCAACATCGGAATGCTTCTCCCCTTCTCAATGACTAACGACGACGACGGTGGAGAAAACAATAACACCAAATGATAGGGAGTAACCAGACGAAGTGAACCATGCCAATGGTGAGCACACCGCAGCTTGGACGAGGGTGAATCAAGCAACAAAACCAAAGACCGAAATAGGAAGAATGAGAAAAATACCCACTTGCTTTAGGCGGTTTCAAACTTTTAAAAGAAAACAAGGAGGGAAAAGAAAAATATGGTGAGTGGAGAAGGGTGTTTTAAAAACCAACTAAAGGGTTATTTATAGAATAGATCCTTATACTATCAAAATTTTTCTTAAAGGCATCAAACCTTCATGATATTCACAACCAGTCACAACTTTTAAGATCCAAGATTTAACCCTTAAATTGGGGTGTGACATAATTATAATTGTAATTACTATTATTATTATTATTTTATAATTATTACACCTTCAAAAATAACTTTGAGAAAATATTAATTTCATGTTAGTCAAGATCTTCAAATAGAATCCTTTGGTTATCGAAGTCTCTAAGAAACTCATCCTTCGAGTAAATGAGTATTATAATCTCTGAGCCAATTACATTACATAGATAAAACATTTGATAGATCCATGTGATCTATTAGAGTGAAATCGAAGATTTGACGATCATATCTATTGAGCATGCTGACCTACGAGTAGTTATAATGACTATATTTGACACTATCAATTAAGATCACTACAAATACTCCCCAACCATAACTGACAAGGGAATCCTTTCTATTTCATTCTCTTCCATTCATATATTCTAACATTTGTCTTCATCTCTTTCACAAAGAAAATAAACCAAGGAATAAATCTACATCAACTACGATTCTTAATATTGAGAATAGGACGACTAAAATAATTTATTCATATCAATAAAATATTTACACAAATCTTAATATTTTGTATAATTAATTCATATAATTACTTTTTAAGAGATCATGTAAAATAAAATCAAAATACAAATATTAGGTACTTCAATTTTTTTCTATTTTCAGACTGGAGTCCCCTTTATACTAGAAAAACGGTCGGTTTTAATTACATCTATCATGTGACTTTAGCATATACTCTGATAAAAAAAAATTAATTTCTCCCTATCCCATTTATTTCGCTGACCTTTCTTCTCTCCCATCTCTTCATTTACAAAGCACAAATTTCCTTCCCTTTCTCACTGTCACTCCCTTCTCTTCATTACTTTTAGTTCATCATCAACATTATCTCTTTGCTTTCAAGTCTTATATAAAGATACAACCCTACTTTCTTCTTTCTTTGCTGATTCAGTTCTTCACACTATACACTTACTATGGGGAGATCTCCCTGCTGTGACAAAGTAGGGTTGAAGAAAGGGCCTTGGACACCTGAAGAAGATCAGAAACTCTTAGCTTACATCGAAGAACATGGTCGTGGAAGCTGGCGTTCGCTGCCGGCCAAAGCCGGTGACTAAACCCTAACCCTAATTTTTCTTGCATAACTTATAGTACAAGATAGATATTTTTTTCTCCCATTATTACTTGTCAATTCTTCTGTTCTCAGCTCATTCTGGACATCCTTTTGTTTTTAGGTCTTCAAAGATGTGGAAAAAGTTGCAGGCTAAGATGGACTAATTATCTAAGGCCTGATATTAAGAGAGGAAAGTTTAGTTTGCAAGAAGAACAAACTATCATCCAACTTCATGCCCTTTTAGGGAACAGGTAGTAAAAGCTCATTTCTTTAAGAATTTTTTTTTCTTAAATATAATTCGGAGCTTTCTGATCTTTGTTTTGAACACTTAGATTTTAATTACCTCTCAAATGTGAATTGCCAGTCTAATCTATTTATCACCTATTTTAACTTTGTTTTGTCCTTTCTTCTTTGTTTTGGTTTCGACCCTACAGATATTTAATTAAATTTGTGGTCTGTTCCATTTTACAATAAGTTTCTTCTGACATGATTTTAATAGAATACTGACTTTAAATGCAAAATTGGGTCTTCAATTCTTCATTAAAATACCATCGAAAATTAGTTTTTTTAAACAATTTTTTTGTCTTTAGATGAGTGAAGGATTGAAAACTTTCTAGGGTTTTGTGTAGAGGTTAATGTTATGGTGTTCTTTTTGTCATCAGGTGGTCTGCCATCGCCACTCACTTGCCGAAAAGAACAGATAATGAAATCAAAAACTACTGGAACACTCATCTTAAGAAAAGGTTGGCTAAAATGGGGATCGATCCCATCACTCACAAGCCTAAAAACGATGCTTTAATCTCCACTGCCGATGGTCAATCCAAGAACGCAGCCAATCTTAGCCATATGGCTCAGTGGGAAAGTGCACGGCTCGAAGCTGAAGCTAGACTGGTTCGAGAATCAAAGATTCGTTCTCGTTCACTTCAACGTCAGCAGTTCAACCCTCCTGGTTTCGCCCTTGAGTCTCCTACATCTACTCTTACTGTCTCCGAACCACTCATTGCAGGCCTTGGAGTGAGCCCTGTGCCGACGATCGAGTTCATCGGCACCACTTCGGGTTCGTCGGAGACGGCCGGGATTGTCAAAGAAGAAGGCGAACAAGAGTGGAAGGAGCTAGGAAGTTCAAGCAATTTGGGTGATTACAAACAGGGCATGGGGAATTATTTGTCCCCATTCACTTCTAGTCTTCATGCTATGACAGTTCCCATGGAGCCAAATAACATCAATGTTAATGTTGGGGGCATAATGGAGGAAGGCTTCACTAATCTTCTTCTCAACGATTCGATCGACCAGACTTTATCAGATAGTGGGAAAGAATCCGACGAAAACAGCGGAGGCAGCGGGGATGGCAGTGATTGCTTTGAAGATAACAAGAATTATTGGAATAGTATTCTGAATTTGGTGAATTCTTTCCCATCTGATTCACCAATGTTCTGAACAAGTAATTGTATTGCTGTTAAAAAGCTGTGAAATACCATCATATAATATATATCTACATCACTGTTTCCGCTACAAAGAAAAGGGGCTTTGATAACTTCACGCATTCCCTTATCTTTCTTCAAAAGGAACAATGCATAGCTCTTCATCAAATTAATTATTCTTGTTTTAGTTTATAGGAATTTTACATTCTGAGTTCACTTCAATGACATTTTTCAGCAGTTTATATATATATATAGTTTGTGTTTATTTCTCGCCACTCTGTACATCTAGATCATAAGCAGGAATGGTCTATGAAATATTCTATTGGATGGTACCGATAGTTAATATCGTTTTTTTAAAATATAATATTTTATGTACATATAGTGTATATTTTTATGCATTATCAAGGTATTAAATAATAGGGTAAAACAAAATAAAATATTCTCCTGGTCTATAGGGTGTTGTTTTATTGAGTCTTTTAACTATTAAAAGTTATTAAATGGTCCAATTATAGGACATTGTTTTGTTGAGTCATTTGACTTTTAAAAGTTATAAAATAGTCATCTGACTATTCATATGTTCCAAAATCTTCATTTTTTCATTAAAAAATTGAAGGTCATCTTAGCTTAACGTTAACATATTGACTGAGATATGATAGTCATTTGAGATTCCAAAATCAGATTTTATCATATCCCAGTCAGCATGTTAACGTCCAGCTTAGACTGTAGTCAAATTTTTAACTGAAAATGATGAGTTTAGAAAATAAGAATAATCTAGTGACAATTTTGTAACTTTTAAGAGTCGGGACTCAACAAAGCAACTCCTTATAATTAGGGATTATTTTGTAAATTTTAATAATCGGGAGACTCAACAAAATAAAACTCTATTAAAATAATAAAATTTTAATTTGAGTTATTAAAAATATTAAAATTATTTTCTCCTTAAAAATAAATTAATTTTTCCTAGATATATAAAATTATAAACAAAAATAATGATAATGATAATAATAATTTGCTTTTAAAATTTATAAATTAATACTATACTTAAAAGAAAATTATTTGTTTTAAATTTATATTACAAAATTTTAAAATTAAATAAAACTGAAATTTATCTTCAAAGTTCATTTCCTTTCTGTTAGACTATGACGGATAATTAATAAAGATATAATATAAAATATTTATGTGTATATGCATTTATGATAAGACTTTATTGCGGGTAGTTTCAGGTCACATTCTGCTAATATCAAGCACGAAAATTTATTGATATCTTTTTTATTTATTTGTTTTTCTTGTTCAGCTTTTGGTATAACTAACAAAAATTCAGTTCAAATGACATTAAAAGTAAAATTCAACTCAACAATTAACGTAGGTTTTTCCTCAAAATATATAATTATGATATTTTTACTACATATTTAGTAACTAAACTATCAGTTTTTAATTTGTTTTAATATCTAAACTTTTAATTTTTTTTAAAATTATATCTAACATTTAGTTTTTGTTTAATTTTAGTACCTCGTCGTAAAAAACTAATGCATTAAATATCTAAAGTATCAGTTTTAGTCCGTTTTAGTACATAAACTTTCAAATATTTTGAAAACTTAATATTAAATTTTCAACAAGTGTACTAAAATAAAACAAAAGGTAAACTTTAGGTATGGTTTTGAAAAAAAAATTGATGTATGTATTAAAACGGACTAAAACTAATAGTTTAGGTACTAAACACATAATTTATCTTATTTTTAATCAAAATATAATAGATTTAAACATGATTTGATAAATATCTTTTAAATATATAATTCGTTCAAAGAACGAGTATTATTTTAATAAAATATGATATCGGAAATTATTTTTTTAATAACATGAGGTGACTATAAGATATTGTTTGTTTATGTTATTTCTTAATCATTGGTAATTAGAGGTTACAAACAGGTCATTCAGATTGGGTTTGGGTTGAATCATTTCGTGTCTAGATTACATTCAGTTTAATTTTGTTTGGGTCAGATAGAGTTTGGTTCGGATTAAGTTTGGGTGTATAATAAATTGGGTCAGTTTGGGTATCGGGTCGGGTTGGTTCGATTATTTTTTGATTTGGGTTAATATTGGATCGATTGATTTTTGGGTCAGGTTAATATCAATTCAGTTAGATTTCGAATCGGAGTCAATATCGATTCAGTTGAGTTTTGGATCGGGTTAATATCGGATCGGTTGATTTTTGGTTTAGATTAGATCGACTTATTTTCAATTCGGGTCAATCTTTGAATCGGGTCAATTTGAGTTGAATGAGATACGAGTCTAATTAAGTATATATACAATTATTGATATATTCTTATAAAATGAAATCTAAAAAAAGAATGCAAGAGATGGAGAAGAGAGATTTTAGTGAGCAGAGAGATGGTTTGGACGTGCAAATCTATCCTTCCCTGGAGAGACTAGGGTCCCCGACAAACCAAGAAGAGCAACGAGCAACTAAGAAAGTTAAGAATCAGGAGGTAGATTCCATTACCTTGGGGATAAAGATGTAGCCAAGGACCAAGAAGATTTCAAGAAACCAGGAATGATATCGTACGCTAGCATGGTTGTAGGCAGCTCTCTACAATGGAAAAGAACCCCCTGTCAAGATGCAAGAAGAGGAAATCATATTCCAAAAAGGGGATGTTATGCTGGACAACTCGGGTAAATACTCCAAGATAAATTTTTCTGCCAGGGTTCATGAAATTATAGATAGTAATATATGTCGACACCGTTTTTCGTTCGGACGGAGAAAGACCAGTATCAACTTTAGGGTTTTCCTTTGAAAATAATTTTTGAAATGTGAGAAGTCGTAACTAATCATTTCAGGTGTGATTAAGACACCATAAAAACCGAGGGATTTTAATAAAACATTTTATTTTTATCAAAATATCAAGTTTTAAGGTATGCATAAATCCATAAATCAGGTTTGGTAGTCGGTTAAGCATGGGGAAGGATTAGCACCCCACAAGCGTCCAAAAATTGGTACCTAGTTGATTACACTATATTTAAAATCGAAAATTTTGAATTCGAACTATATTTAATTTAAAAATCATTACGAATGCAAAGTTAAAAAGGGTATTTGTTTATTAAGACCGATAGCATTCGCCCCCTAGCATGAATGCAAGAGATAAGCTATTATGCCGAATAACCGGACATTGCCTTAATTTCAGAAATCATGATGCAGTTTTGAAAAGGATGTCGACCTATTTCGGGAATCACCAGTAGTCACCCCTGAGCATACTTGCGGGAGATATATTATTAATTCCCTTATAAATGAACGTTGTCTTAGATTTAAAATAGAATGCAATCAAACAAATTTTTATTCATCCTAATTAAGCTAAGGGTAAATTAAGGTTTTTTCTAGCTTAAAGTGTCGAATTATGAAAATTAGAGAACCTAGAAGCTCAAGCCTAAAATGTAGATTATAATATTAACCCTATATGATTTTTAATCAATTATTGAATAGAATAATCGATATGGTCCCTTGAGATTTAGGCAAGGGCCATCAAGATTACTCCCTAAATTAAAAGACTAATTTGAAATCTAATATAAAATGGAGGCTCTAATATTAATTTAAACTAATTTTAAGACTCGAATAATTAAATTGAAACCTCGAGCAAAAGCGATGATCAAATTAAGAATTCTCTTAATTACAAAATTAAAGACTTAAACTAATAGAAAATTGAATCTAATGGTTTTAATCTAAAATTGAGATATTTATTCCAAGACAAATTAACAAGCATAAAATTATATATTAAAATTGAATAAATAAAAAATTTAAAAATTCAATGTTGCAAATTAAGATAGATAAATGAATCGATAAAAACACATATAATAAAAACTAATCTATTAAAAAAAAGTTATGAGACTAAAAAAAATAGAACAAGGAAAGAAAATTAAAAGGCATGCATTAAGTTGATTTCAAACAAAAATGAATGAAAAAAAGAAAGACAAAATTAAAAGGGACAAATGAAAGAAAAATCAACGAAAATTATGGATAATAAAATATTAAATATATGAAACTAGATTCTAGTGACATAACTAATTTTACGTAATAAATTATAGGAAAGACCAAAATAAAAAAACGTCCGACCACCCTGAACCGGTGGTCCCAACGGTGGTTAAAATCCAAACCACACATCTTTTACTCTCCAAGCCCTTTAGAAATCAAACCAACCAACCACTCGACCTAAACCCCTAAACAACCAAAGACCCCAAACCTAAAATCGAACTTCAATCCTAAAATGTAAGGGTTTACCTTCGGTGGTAAGGGTAAAATCTTTGCTCCGATGAAGCTACAGTGACCATATATTGCTAAAAGGTGAGCTTTTTCTCATTTTCCTCTCGTTTTTTTTTTATTTTTTTCATTCTTTTTCTCTTGTATGTTTTCTTTTCTTTTTTGTTTTCGAATCCTATATATGGTCTCTCCCTTTGTTCTACCGAATAGCCCCCTTCGAAAATGGCACTACAGCAAAACTGTTATGTACCGGCGTTTTTAGTGGCGTTTATTCCGCAAAAGTTAAACATATAACAGCGTTTACAATCCAAATGCCACAAATTGATTCTTTAGCGGCATTTTTTAACAAACGCTGCAATAGATTTGAAATATAGCGGCGTTTTTGGAAGGGTTATTTATAGTGGTGTTTTTCCAACAAACGCCGTAATGAAGAATACTTTTGTGTCGTTTTTAGAAAAACGCCATAAAAGGGTTAATCAATAGCGGTGTTTCTTGTAAAAACGCCGCAATAGAGTAGAAATTTTACGGCGTTTTCATCCCAAACGCCGCAATAGAGTGGTAAAGTAGCGGCGTTTATTCCTCAAATGTCGTAATAGGGTTTTTTTAAGTCGCATTTTTTGAATAAATGCCGCAATAAATAATACTTTAGCGTCATTTTTAGAAAAATGACACAATAGTGTTAAGTAATAGTAGTGTTTTTTGTATAAACGCAGCAAAAACATGTTATATAATGACGTTTTTTTAAAATGCCGCTAAATGTTAAATATATGCTTCACTCCTTTCTCATACCTGATCCCTAAAATCATTTCAACTCTTCTTCCCTCAAAGCTTCTTCTCTGGTACAACAACGACCCTTACACGATTCCAAGCGACGTCTCTTTTGTCTGTCTCGGCAACCAAATCAGCCCTCTCAGCGATGAACTATAACGCAATTGCACGGTTTGATCCCTCTTATCACTAATGTTCTTTTTCATTTTTGTTTTTGTTGGTATTTTGAAAATGGGAAAAAACCCAGAAAGCTAACGTTTTGAGAAAAAAATAGCTTTCAAATAGGAAAACAATATCTATACATAGTGTTTTACTGCTTTCGAATAGAAAAATAATAGATCTGCTTCCGAAAAGGGAAATAATAGATTTCGAAAACATGAACAAATTGTTGTGGTACGAAGAGCAGATGTAACCTTGAGTAAGATAAATTATCGTCGGAATGTCTACGTGGCGTATTTGCTCTGACAATGGATCAAATTATCGTTGGGAGGCTATCGGTCCGGTCTTGCCATCGAAACTCGATGATGACCTGAAAGGAACTCTTATTGCTCCATACCCTTCCATGGCCAATCTCCTACTTGAAGGTAATAATCTATGAATCTTTCAGCCTCTATATATTTTTTGTACACTCACTCAAAGTTCATAGATCGTACACATGTAATATCTTCGAAGCTTATTGAGAACGATGATAGAGGAGTGAATAAATACCCGATGTTTAGAACCGAAATTGGTAACTCTGTGGCGTTGAAAGAATCTTCAATTGCAAAAGCAATATCTATCCTCAATGCTCTCCGACCTTGTTTCGAACAGTCAAATGAGCTTTATTCTAGGATGTGAAATTACCAATAATGTGATCCTTGATCAAGAAACGATTCACTCTATGCGGAAAAAAAGGCAAGAAAAGTTGGATGGCCATTAAAATTGATCTCGAGAAAGCCTATATAGGCTGAAATGGTCATTTGTTAAAGATACTATCGAAGACATTGGTTTGCCAACCTTTCTTAGGCGAGTGATCATGGAATGTATTAGCACTACTACTACTCAAATAATTTGGAATCGTGAACTCACTAAACCTTTTAAATCAACTAGAGGTCTTCGACAGGGTAATCCCATATCTCCTTACTTGTTCATTCTTTTCATGGAAAAGCTATTAAACTCTCAGCGGATGGTCCTGCCATCTCCCACCTATTTTATTCAGACGACCTCATCCTTTTTGCTAAAGCGGAATTTGCTCAAGTAAATATTATGAAAGAGAGCCATAGAAAATTTTGTCTCAGTTCAGGACAGAAAGCGAGCCTTCAAAAAAACAAATTTTTTTTACTCGAGTAATGTCTCCTCCTCCTACAACCAGGACTTTTTTACCAGCAAACTGCGAATTCATGTTGTGGACAACCTTGGAAAAATATTTAGGGGTCCCCCTTATTCATGAAAGGATTACTAAAGATACTTATAGATATATTGTTCAACAAGTCAGAAATAGGCTCATTGTATGGAAGGCTAAGTCGTTGTCTTTGGCAGGGAGAATTGTGCTTGCGAGATCGGTCCTCACTGTTGAATAAACTTAAATGTGGATTTTAGTGGTTTTCTTTAAATTTAGAAGTTAATGGGAAAATAAAAGGTCAAGTGTTTAGTAGGTGAAAGGCCAAGGGGTGATATAGGAGTTAATGTCTTTTATGATATTTAATAGAATTTTTTTTGGTGGAGTAGTATCTAGTGCCCATATAAAGACCTTGTTGATTTCATTTGAAAACAACTCAAATGAAAACAAAATCACTTGGAAATAGTATAGTAGTTTTGGGTTAATTTGATTTCTATTTTATAAATTAGCATCATGGTCAATGACAAATGTGACGGGTCAAATGGCGCTACCACGACTAACGAAGGCAAACTACGAGAACTAAAGCATTCAAATGAAAGCTCTTATTGGATCTCAAGATGCATGGGAGGTGGTCAAAGAAGGTTTCGAAGAACCAACAACAACCATGGGATATACGGCGGCTCAAACCAAGGTGTTGAAAGAGGCACGATCAAAGGATAAGGTGACACTATACATGTTGTTCCGAGCCGTTGATGAGTCGGGCTTTGAGAAGATTTATGGTCCAGGTACTTCAAAAGAAGCGTGGGACATTTTAGGAAAAGTTTTCAAAGGAGTCGACCGAGTCAAGCAAGTGTGTCACCAAACTCTTCGTGGCTAGTTGGAAAGCATGAAGATGAAGGAGTCGGAAAGTGTATCCGACTACATAACGCGTGTACAAACCATGGTGAACCAACTCATTCGTAATGGCGAAGCATTAACCGATGCACAAGTTATGGAGAATATTTTGAGACCATTAACCGATAATTTAGAGAATTTTGTGTGCGTGATAGAAGAGTAAAAAGACCTTGCGACGCTCATAGTCAACGAGCTCGTCGGTTCTCTCGAGGCACACGACCAACGTAAGAAGAAAAAGAAGGAGAAGACACTCGAGCAAGAACTTCAAACAAATGCGTCAATTAAAGACGAAAATGTACTCTATTCTCAAAATTTTTGAGGTAGAGGGCGTGGCCGTAGAGGTCGTGGATATGGTCGCGATGGTCAAGTCGATAGTGATGAAGGGTACTATAAAGAGAAGGGACAATCAAGCCAACTAAATTGGCGTGGAAGAGGAATAGGTCAAGGAAGAGGTGGCCGATCAAACTATTCCAACATCGAGTGCTACAAGTGTTATAAGTATGGTCACTACATAAAGGATTGCAACTCTGAAAAATGTTATAACTGTGGTAAAGTGGGGAATTTTGCAAAAGATTGTCGAGCCAATAAAAAGGTGGAAGAAACAACCAACCTTGCCTTGGAAGACGAGCGAATGAAAGCTTTCTCTTGATGGCTCAAAATGAAGTCAACATTAACAATGACACTTTGTAGTACCTCGACTCGGGCGCAAGCAACCATATGTGTGGTCACAAGTACCTATTTAAAGATATGAAAAAGATTGAAGATGGTCATGTGTCTTTTGGAGAAGCATCAAAAGTGGTTGTCAAAGGTCGAGGTACAGTTTGTTATACAAAAGGATGGCTTGATAGGGTCAATCCAAGATTTTTATTATGTACCAGATCTCAAGACAAGCATTTTGAGTATGGGGTAACTCACAGAGAGAGGTTACTCGACACTTTTGAAAGACTGGGTACTACACTTGAAGGACAAGCAAGGGCGTCTAGTTTCTCGAGTCGAGATGGGCAGAAATTGGATGTACAAACTGAATTTGAGAAGCATACGAGAAAAATGTTTACGAATCGACGTAGAAGACAATGCATCGTTGTGGAATCTCCGCTTTGGTCACTTACTTCTTGGTGGTCTAAAAGAGTTAGAAAAAAAGAACATGGTGCACAGGCTACCAGATATAGATTATGAGGGAAAATTTTGTGAAGAATATGTGCTTGTCAATCAATCAAAAATCTCGTTTCAAAAGAAGGCAGAATATCGCACTAAACATCCTCTTGAGTTGATTCATACCGACATATGTGGACCAATCACCCATGAATATTTCAACAGTAAAAGGTATTTCATTTCCTTCATCGATGATTTCTCATGAAAAACTTGGGTTCATTTTTTGAAAGAAAAATCTGAGGTATTTGAGGTGTTAAAAAAATTCAAAGTGATGGTAGAGAAGGCAACTGGTAGACACATCAAAGTCGTGGTTCTGATAGAGGTGGCGAGTATACTTCGATGGCTTTCATGGAGTATTGCGAGGAGCAAGGCATAAGGAGATTTCTAACCGCACCATAATCTCTTCAACAAAACGGTGAGGCTGAGAGGAAGAATCAGACCATTCTCAACATGGTTCAATCAATGCTCAAGAGCAAGAAGATGCCGAAGGAATTCTAGGCAGAAGCCGTGCAATGTGCCATCTATGTACAAAATCGATGTCCACATGTGAAGTTAGACGATCAAACACCACAAGAGGCATGGAGCGAACAAAATCCAACATTTTCTCATCTCAAATTGTTCAGTAGTGTTGCTTATGCATACGTACCGGATCAACGAAGAACGAAGCTCGAAGACAAAAGTAAAAAGTATATTTTTATTGGGTATGATGAGAAGACAAAAGAGTACAATTTATTTGATCTGATAAGCAAGAAAGTGATGGTGAGTTGTGATCTGCGAATAAATAAAGCAAGCGAGTGTGACTAGAACAATTCCATAAAGGCTATCATCGAAGTTGGAGAATTATCAGCCACCAACAAGCATACCAACAAACTCTGAAACTACCGATGATGAAGATGAACCACAACAACCCAAAATATAAAGTTTGCAAGATTTGTATGATTCGACAAATGAAGTACACCTTGTATGTGTTTTGGAAGATGCTGAAAATATCAGCTTTGAAGAGGCGTTGCGAGACAAGAAGTGGCAAACTGCCATGAATGAGGAGATTGAAACGATTGACCGCAACAACACATGGGAGCTAGTAGAATTGCCGAAAGGAATTTAGCCTATTGGTGTGAAGTGTCTGTTCAAGAAAAAGATGAATGTTCAAGGCGAGATAGAACGGTACAAAGCGCGACTTGTTGCGAAGGGGTACAAGAAAAAGGCATGCATCGACTGTGTGTTTGCTCCTGTTGCAAGAATGGAGATAATTCGATTACGCATTTCACAGGCTTCTCAATTTAAATGGCCGATATTTCAAATGGATGTCAAGTTATCATTCTTGAATGGTGTGCTCGAAGAAGATGTCTACATCGAACAACAACCTGGGTACGTAAAAGTCGGAGAAGAGAATAAGGTGTTAAAGGCGCTTTACGGTTTAAAGCAAGCACTACGGGCATGGAATACACATATCGATACATATTTTAAGGATAATGGGTTCAAGAAATGTCCCTACGAGCATGCCCTTTATGCAAAGAAGAATGGAGGTAACGTGTTATTTGTTTTTCTTTATGTTGGTGATCTCATTTTTATGGGTAACAATAATGAGATGATAGAAGAGTTTAAGGGCACAGTGACACGGGAATTTGAGATGACAGATTTAGGCTTAATGCAAAATTTTCTTGGTTTAGAGGTTAGACAAGTAGAGATGAGTATTTTTGTATCATAAGAGAATATGCAAAAGAGATTTTGAAGAAATACAATATGGAAAATTGCTACCCGATATCAATACCAATGGAACCAGGTGCAAAAATCTCGAAGTTCGATGGAGGGGAATGTGTCGATGCGAGTAGATATCGGAGTTTGGTAGGAAGCCTTCACTATCTCACTTGCACAAGGCCAGATCTTTCACTAAGTGTCGGCATTGTAAGTCGGTTCATGGAGGAGCCGATTTATTCACATTGGAAGGCGTTGAAGCGAATCCTATGGTACATTCAAGGAACGGTGTCACTCGGGTTGTTATGCTCAAAATCAGAAGATTACAAATTGGTTGGGTACTCCGACAGCGATTGGTGTGGAGACATAGACGATCGGAAAAGCATATCGGGATATGTGTTTTTTATGGGAGATATTGTGTTTAGTTGGCTTTCAAAGAAGCAACCGATCGTGACGCTCTCGACTTATGAAGTTTAATATACGAAAGCATATTGGTGTGTATGTCATGCGATATGGCTTAGAAATTTGTTGAGCAAGATGGAGCTAAAGCAACTAGGTGCAACCGTGATTCATGTTGACAGCAAATCAACAATTGAGTTGGCAAAGAACTCGGTGAACCATGAAAGAAGCAAACACATTGATGTTCGTTTTCATTTTTATGCGAGATCATGTGAAGGAAGGAAGTGTGGAATTGGTGCATGTAGCAACTCGAAAGTACTTCTCGACAAATACAAGAAGATGATTGGCATGACGGATGGTAGAAACATTTAAGTTTACGGGGGAGTTTTGTTGAATAAACTTAAATGTGGTTTTTAGTGGTTTTCTTTAAATTTAGAAGTTAATGGAAAAATAAAAGGTCAAGAGTTTTAGTAGGTGAAAGGCCAAGGGGTGATATAGGAGTTAATGGTCTTTTATGATTTTTAATAGAATTTGTTTTTTTTTGTTTTTTATAGAATAGTACCTAGTGCCTATATAAAGACCTTGTTGATTTCATTTGAAAACATCTCAAAGGAAAACAAAATCACTTGGAAATAGTATAGTAGTTGTGGGTTAATTTGATTTCTATTTTACACTCACTGCCATTCCGTATTATACTATGCAGTCTACCCATCTTCCCAAAGGCACCTGTAACGAGCTCGAAAGATTGGCCTATAATTTCATTTGGAGGCATACTAATGAGAAAAAAGGTCCGTGTAGTAAACTAGGACAATCTTTGCTATCCGGCCAATAGAGGGGTCAAGGGCTAAAAATATTTAGGCTTCAAAATCAGGCGTTTTTATTAAAACTTGCTTACAAGCTGTCTAACAGGTGTGATATTATGTGGGTGCAGGTTATGCGAAGCAAATATAAAATGGTAAGCTCAACCCCGGATGAATTACAGAACCAAAACAGATCACACATATGGAGAAGCATCTGCCCGCCTTCAAAAGAAACTAACATGGAACATAGGAAACAACAATAACGTGCGATTTTGGCAGGATGACTGGCTGGGAAAGCTTGGCCCCCTAACCAAATACTGTATTCTAACTTGGCGGGTAGCAAATGATTATTCCAGAGTTGGGGACTTCGTTTTACCAAAAGATAACTGCGACTAGAACAAATTAAACTATTGTCTTCCTGAGCAAGTCATTAATACGCTAAGAGCAACTCCACCTTCCTTGGATGAGAATCTCGTGGACACTCTAGGTTGGTTAGCCTCTAAGAACCGAATTTGTACTGTTAAGTCAGCTTACAATACGCTTGCCAATTTGAATTAGGTGTTTGAGGATAAAGTTTAGGATATAATAAGCAAACAAGACAACCTACCTAGAGTCAAAACCTTCATGTGGCTAGTTAAAAAAGGGAAGCTTTTGACCAACTCGGAGAGAGCTAGAAGACAATTGACAGTTGACGACAGCTTCCCCATGTGTGGTTACGAGACCGAAGATATTAGCCATCCACTGAGAACTTGTCCCGTAACGCTCTCAGTTTGGACGCAATTATTAGAGTCTTCCAACATGTAGAATTTTCTAGGATGCAATATCAAAGATTGGATATCCGATAACTTAATATCTACTAGGTCTCCATCAAATAAGGTTGAAAATTGGCCTACATTCTTCAGCTTAGTTTTATGGGCACTCTGGAAAAGAAGGAATCAATATATATTCGACCCAAAGATGCTAGAAAGGGAATCGATCATCGAGAAAGCCCTCCGTCAGCCAAAGGATATAGAAAAAAGCTAAGACAGTACAAAATCTTTCATCAATGGATGATGTAAAAAGAACAAGCATGTGGCAGCGACCGGAGCTTCACTGGTGTAAAGTTAATACCGATGGCGTTAGGTGACAATACCATGGAGGTAACATGAGGAGTGGTAGCACGAGACCACGATGGCGTTTGGCTTTGGGGATACACCAGGAAGGTTGGATTCTACTCTACACTTGAAATTGAGTTGTGGGGTAAATATGAAGGATTACATCTATCTTAGAGATCGGGAGAAGGACATGTCATCTTAGAGTCGGATAATAGAGAAGCAGTCAACGTGGTTAATGAGAGATTAGTGAAGAGAATACAACTCACGATTCTGCAACATATTAAATCCCTGCTGAAGAATAATTGGTTTGTCTCCATCAAGCATATACCAAGTAAATATGTCAGCGGATATTGTAGCAAAACATGCGTGGGCATGTCAGGATGAAGAACAGTTACTACAAGATCCCGCGGATGGTGTAAAGGATAGCCTGAAACTAAACAAGATGGGTAGTTAGCCGAGTTGTAAACCTCCTTTGTTCAATAAAATTTTTTTTGATATATTCTCGTAAAAATGTCTATCTATCTTTTAATCTTATCATTTGATTTTAATTTCAACTTTCAATCGTTTAATATTTTGAATTAAATCATTCTTTAGAGGTGATAATTTGACTCAAACTATATCTTATAATGCGTGTTAGAGTTTATAGAATTTTATATTGATATGATTCAAAAAGTTTATAGTGATAACTATTTGGTAAAAATATTTTTTTATTATAAATTTCATTTTTAATTAAAATTTCAACCATATGTTTAATGTTTAATTATAAATGTATTATTTTATTTTAAAAAATAATACCCTAGTAAATTTTGTAATATTTTAGTTATAAATCTAATATTTTATCAAATTATTAATATTGTTTAAATTAATTTATTATTTAAAATAACTTCCATATGAATTAAAGTGAATTTTCTTTTATATATTAATATATATTATTTCTTTGATTTTTGTGTTTTATGTTAATTGTGTTTATAAAAAAAGTGTTTTTTAAAGTTAATTATGATATACCATCTAAGTGATGATAGTTAAAGTTAATCATATAAAATAAACTTTTGGATAATAACTTGATTTTATAATCCTTCGTATAAAATAATTTTTTATTTTTTTAGAAATTATCATATCAAATATGGAGACGATCTTTTAAACGAAAAAAACAATATTAAATCATTAAATTATTATCAAATGAGGTACTGATGATCATTAAACTATTATCAAATGCGGTGATTAACTTTTAAAATAATGCAGAGAATAAAAATGCATCATTTTACTAGTAACCGTATTGTTAATTAATATATAATAAAAATCAATTATTTAGTCACTTTTACTCATTTATTGAGTTAAAAATCGGGTCAATATTCGGTTCAAATTAAATTTTGATAAATTAAATTCGGATTGCTTTGGATTTGGGTTACTTTTGATTCATGTTACTTTTGATTCAAATTATTTTCGGTTCAGGTTAACTTTGATTCGAGTTACTTTTGGATTGGGTTAAATTCAGTTCGGTTTGCTTTCGGTTTGAGTTATTTTCAGTTCGAATCAAATTAGATATGAGTCAATATTGGTCCAACTAAAATGTGGACCAGTTTTGGTTCAGGTCAGATATAGTTTGAGTTCCGTAGTCATCATATTCGAGCCTATAAGGTATCGGGTTGGGTAAATCGGTTTGAATAATCGGTTTTGAGTCAAGTTTGCCATATCTATTGATAACACACATACTTATAGATATGTTTACTCAAATCTAAGAGTTTAAAAAAAAATACTATCTTTAATCAATAAGATCGCTAAGTGAGTTATAAACCAAACCAAAACCGATAGAAAGTTATAAATCTCCTAACATTTGTGGTAATTATGTTATAAATATGTCAATTCTTTTCTCCCGGTTCGAGAACAAAGTACGGCTTAACTAATTAAAATCATTGAAAAATGGAGGACCTTCTTAGTAATAGATGAATAGCCGTTTAGATCTAGGTTGGGATAACTGAAAATCGACAACCTTCATTGCTAACTGTCTAGCTGTTTTTGGAAGACAACATAAATTAAGTAATAAAAACCATTGAAAAAACAAAACGAAGAACAAACTTACAGGTAAACATTGAATGTGGGATCAAACCCCAACGCTTTGCTGTACTTTAGAAAACACACAAGCCTTTATAACTTATTGTTTTCTAAGAAGAAAAACCTTATCTCACTCTGAGTTCACCCCACAACTATCTTGTTTAACACTGTTTTTTATTTTGCTTGATTCAATCATGATATTTTCACTAGTAAATTAATGATGTCATCACAACAAGAAATCTCTCAAAAAAATTCTAACTCCGCATTCACTAAAGTATTTTAACCTTTTTTTAATCCAAAGTTCATTGTGAAATCGTACATCTTAAACCTAGAACATGCTTCATATCACCTACTGTTTAAAAAATCACATCAAATATCTTAGTCGTGATTGTGTCAATATATATATATATCCATTATTTCCCTCCCAAAAACATCACCTATAGACAAAAGTTTATACGTCGTCGACTAGTCCCAATTGAGACTCATGAAAACTAGTAGAGTCAAGAATTTGATACTAGCATTGTCATATCTTCTTCCATTAGTCTAAGTATTGGTGTTTGGTTATAATCCATGCATAACTTCTGCATTAATCTTAGCAACCTCTCGAAACATTCCAACATTTATCCTAAGGATTCTATAGTTGCCCCCCCCCCCAATTGCATGTAACAATGTGCTTAGATACATGTCTTGAGCCTTTGCAAGTGTCATTAATCTCGGGATTCCTTTTGTTTTGCATATAATGCTTCACCTGTAACTTACAATTGTAAAATGCAATTGTCAATGTCTTCTCTACCTCGGCCTATTTTTCTTCCTTATACAAACTTGCCTCTGATTCCTCTTGTTTCTTGTACAACTTTCAGTTGGCTTCTTGCACCTAAAAAAAAAGTAAAATGACTCTTGTTTAGGCTGTGTTAGATATGAGTTTGTACAACTTTGCTTAATTTTTTCTATATCTAAAGAATAAAATCCATATTGAAATGTGCATGACTGTGATCAATACAAAGCTACATTGTCTGTATAAAAATCTATTCAATGTTTTCTCACAATGAACATTTGTAATTAATCAAAGTCAAACCAAACAAAGTATAAAAATATACCTTTGTTTCATAATCGATGCTAGCTTTACTAAAAAAACACTCATGTTGGGTTACGATTACATTATTCGCACAAGGGGCATTTTCACGTTCACAAACGTGATGCTGGCTTTAGTTTTTATTTCATTGTAATGTGTCCTCGTCACCTCTTGCCCATGATCTCAAATCATGAGATGAAGCTAATAGTTATTGATGGAAGAATCATCAATATAAATAGTCAATAAGCCCTAAGCATCATTACAAATAATTCTATTTTCAATATAACTAATCCATTTCAATATTTGCATAGATTGTATTACAAGTAAATAAACTAACAAGTTAAAAGAAAAATATCACCAGGGATTTGACCATATTAGAATCATCTATTCTAATATCTAAACCAGCTATGTGAAGGTGATAAGTATTACAATAGATATACTAAGGATAAACACCTAGCCTATTTATAACATTTCTTTAAGATAACTATATAATTGACCAATACAATATCTCACTTTTTCTTGATTACAATGGATTTATAGAAAAAAATAAGACAAACTGTAATGGATATGTTGTGAATTGCTTAGTAGCTCTTAGTTAACAAAGTCTTTATGGGTTCAAGCTCTCAAAATAATTTTTATACAATGAATCAAATTTCTAATACCTTCTGAGTTTTGAGTTACTCTAAGGTTGAAAATCGAGTTTGTGACATATACTTGGATGTCGTTAAGTGTTCACCCTAAACATAACGTTAATATCAAAATGTAAAAAAAATAATAATTCAATGATCAAAATAGAAACACGATAGTAGTATGTTTGGGACTAACTCAAAAAGTCCTTTTTAGGTTGGTTAATTCTCTCTAAAATTTCATTAGGAAACAGAAAATCAAAACACCAAAGTAGCCATTTTGAAAAGAAAAGAACATTACAAATAGAGTTCCAAATAGAGTTCCAAATTATTCATGGGGGGGTCATTACTTATATATCAAAACGAAAGTTCAATGCCCAATGGATACACCAAAATAAAACTAGGAAAAATCACTATAAAAGTAGGTCTAACCACACGATTTATGCTATGGTATCCAGGCCCTGCAGTACATCGGCCTTCAACTCTGAAGCTGAATCGAACCAAGTTATCCTCGATCCCGTACGTCGTCCTCTCAGCTTGGCTAAGATCCCTGTTTCACATTACCACTCAAACAGGGGACATATATCATGTAATTCGAAGCTTGGTAAAGCTTTCCATCTATGCCTTGGGAGATCAACAATAAAAGTAAACGCATAAATTGGCATACCAGAAGGACATAATAGCTGGCTGATCAACAATACTTTCACACCCACCAAAGGATGGAGCAATGGTATCTTCAATGCATCAACAAACTTGATGGTGGTCATCAGATCTCCATCAACCTCAAAACTGACCACACCACCAAAGTGTTATGATGGCAGGAAAGTTAGGGTTTGATTGTAGTGAATTGGGGGAAATTTCGAAGAGAAGAATTGAGAAGCAACAGAAGAATTTGGGAGAGAATCGAACGAAATTAGGGATTTAAAGGGGGGCTAGGGATTGACATTCGATCTGAAGATTTGAGAATCGAAGTGAAGACAAAAGAGGGATGCAGAGTATGAGATACGGCTGAGGGTATAGGAGGGGGTGTGTTAGTGGGTTTATTATGTCTTACCCGATTTAAGTTACTGGTGGGCTTATATGTGGGCTTGAGTCTGATAGAATTATATTAGGAGAGAAGTTTGGATGGTGAGTCAGCAGAGGCAGTTATTTTATTAGATATTCTGTATTGACAGTTGGTACTAGTAAATATATAATTTGTACCAATCCTTTAAGGATTTTTATCTTATGAATGAAGAACTTTTTTTGTACCTAAACTCTCTATTTCTGAAATCCCTAAAATTCTTCTACATTCTTATCCTAAATCATAACAAATTGGTAATCAGAGCTGAGTTTTTTGATCCAAAATCAATTGTTCACACTGGGAAAGATAAGAAAAATGCAGAAAACTAGAACCACAGAGGTACCAGAACAAGTAGCACTGGAGGTGAAGAAGGAGACCTTACCATCCTGGTGGGCTGGGCAGAAGGCAGAGCTGGAAAGAAGGATTCAAACATTGGAAGAGGGAATGACTGAGAACAGAGGGTATTTGCAGAGGATCCTACAGCTGTCAATCAGGCAACTGAGGAAACAGATTCACCTCAGACAGTGAAGAAACAACCACCACCAGCTGTAATACAAAACAAAAATAAAGGTAAACAACCATGTTTAATTACGATTCTGAGCGAGCATGAGAAGTATACCTTTCAACCTAATGAACCAGGGATATTGGCTTCTAAACCTGTGGGGTTTACTGGTCAGCAACCTTCTAATCCTAAGTTGCATGAAGAAAATCTGATGGGTAGTTCTAGTGAGATTAAGGGGGAGGAGATGAAAATGTGGACACTAGAAAATGTGGTAAAAACCCTTTTAGGAACACATGTTATGTGTTACCTAGACCAAAATTGGAGTTACCAATGTTTGATGGTAGTAATTCCAGGGGTTGGATTAGGAAATGTCAGAAGTTTTTTAATTTGTTTGGAATACCAGAGGAGCAGAAAATGGAAGTAGCTGCTATGTATTTAACTGGGAGAGCTGAGACATGGTTTGATGGGTATATGATGCAGAAGCATAGGGTTACTTGGCATGAATTTGCGACTGATTTATGTCACATATTTTGTGATAGAAATTATTCTGATATTATTGAAGAATTCAATAAGCTAATGCAAAAAGAGAGTGTGGAGGAGTATCAAGAAAGATTTGAGGAGTTAAGACCCTATTTGTTACTACAGAACATGCATTTGGGGGAGGAGTACTTTGTTTCCAGCTTTATCAGTGGACTCAAGGAGGAATTAAAACATAAGGTGAAAGTGTTAAAGCCCAAGAACTTATTTGAAGCTTATAGGCAAGCTAAGTTATATGAGTTAGCTAATGAGATTGAAGGGAATAAGTTTAAACCTCCTGCTAAAAATTTTTCTTACACTCCTTCAAATAGTCAACAGGGCAGTGGAGTTAAGACTTTTTTGCCTAAGTCAGTTCCTCCTAATACAAACACAAGACAGAGTCTATTGGAATATAGAAGAAACCACAATTTGTGTTTCAAATGTGGAGAGAAATTTACTCCTGGACACCAGTGTAAAAGCAGACAATTAAATTGTAAGGAGGAAGAAGAGCCTGTTGAATCTGCAAAACAAGATTTAACAGAAGGGGAGAATGGAGAGGTGGAAGATCAAGCTAAGGAAGCCCTGAAAATTTCTATTAATGCTATTACAGGGAATGTGGGACATACTACTTTGAGGATTCAGGGTTTTATCAGAGGGAAGCCTATTAATGTACTAATTGATAGTGGCATCACTCATAGTTTTGTAACTCCTAAGTGGGCAAAGGAAGGGGTTGAATTGGTTCATACACAACCATTAGTTATTACAGTAGCTAATGGTGAGAAATTGTTTAGTACTGCTAGAAGTAATAAAGTGAGTTGGAAGAAGCAGGGCTATGAATTTCAGAATGATTTCAGAGTAATATCTTTGGGAGGTAGTGACATGGTATTGGGGGTAGATTGGATGGAAGAATTCAGCCCTATAATGATGGACTTTAAAGCTAAGACCATCAGTTTTGAGAAGGATAGGGAAACTGTAGTTATAAAAGGATCTCAAAACTTCCATTAATTAGACCCATCACAGGTGAGAAATTCCAGAAGCTAGCTAAAAAAGACACTGAATTGAATGGGGAGATCTATTTGCTCAGTGCTGAAGTTGAAGACAGTGAAATTCCACTACCATTACAAGACTTATCAGAGGAGTTTAAAGAAGTATTTGAAGAACCAAGGGGAATGCCTCCTAGAAGGAAACATGATCATACAATTGTCCTTAAACAAGGAACACAACCAGTAAATCTTAGACCTTATAGATTTGCTCATCATCATAAGGCTAAAGTGGAGAAACAGTTACTGAAATGTTGTCCTCTTCTATTATTCAGGTGAGCAAAAGTCAATTTGCCTCCCCATGTTTACTTATTAAAAAGAAAGATGGAACTTGGAGATTTTGTGTGGATTATAGGAAACTTAATTCTGCTACAGTTAAAAATAAGTTTCCTATTCCTATAGTGGAGGATTTGTTAGATGAATTGAATGGGGTTGCTTTCTTTTCAAAATTGACTAGAGGTCTAGATATTGGCAAATTAGAATCAAGGATGAATATATTTGCAAAACTGCTTTTAGGACCCATCAAGGACACTATGAATTTAAAGTAATGCCTTTTGGCCTTACTAATGCTCCAGCTACTTTTCAAGCTTTGATGAATGATTTGTTTGGAGCATACTTAAGGAAGTTTGTTCTTGTATTTTTTGATGATATTGGTTTATAGTCCTAGTTTGACAAAGAATAAACAACACCTAAGAACTGTGTTAGAGGTTCTGTTGAGAACATGTTATATGCAAAAATGAGTAAGTGCTTCTTTGGACAGCAGCAAGTGGAATATTTAGGGCACTTAATATAAGCTGATGTGGTGGCAACAAATCCTGCCAAAATTAAAGCCATGCAACAGTGGCCTTTACCTAAGAATCTGAAAGCTTTAAGAGGATTTTGGGTTTAATTGGATACTACAGAAAATTCATAAGAGGATATGGAGAATTGAGTAAGCCTTTAACCAATATGCTAAAAAAGGATGGGTTTTATTGGTCTGAGGAAGCTATGTCAGCTTTTGAAAAGCTAAAGGAAGTTATGTGTAATGCTCCAGTTTTGGTTTTACCTAATTTTGAGCAAAAGTTTGTTTTGGAAACTGATACTAGTTCAAAAGGGATTGGAGCTGTTCTTTCTCAAGATGAGAGACCTATAGCTTATTTGAGTAAAACTTTGGGTCCTAAGCATGAAGATCTTTCAATCTATGAGAATGAGTATTTGGCCATTTTGATGGCAGTTTCTCATTGGAGGCATTATTTGGAGAGTGGTTCTTTTGTTATTAAAACAGATCATGAGCCCTTAAAACATTTACTTGAACAGAAGTTACAACTATCCAGAAGAAAGGACTTACAAAGTTATTGGGGCTGGATTATACTATTCAGTATAGGAAGGGTAAGTCTAACAAAGCTGCAGATGCACTTTCTAGACAACAATTGGATTCTGGTGAATTTGTTCAAATGGGAGTTACTGTTATAACACCTACTTGGGTACAGGATATTGAAAAGAGTTATGAAGATGTTATAGCCCAAGAAAAAATACCTATTTGGTTATTAAGCCAGATCAAATACAGGACTGGAAGTTACTCAAAGGAGTCTTGTATTTCAAAAGAGGATTTATGTGGGCAGAATGGGGACCTTAGGCAGAATATAATTGTGGCTTTGCATGATTCATCACAAGGATGTCACTCAGGTATTCATGCTACTTATCAGAAAATTAAGTCTTATTTTTTCTGGCCAAGAATGAAAATTTTAATTCAGGAGCATATACAACAATGTGATGTGTGTCAGAGGACTAAAACAGAACATATTCCTAAGCCAAGATTGTTATAGCCTATTTCAGTCCCAAACAATGCTTAGGAAGTGATTAAAATGGACTTCATTGAAGGTTTGCCATCTTCAACAAAATATAATTGCATCTTAGTGGTGATTGATAAATTCACCAAGTATGCTCATTTTATGCCACTAGCTCATCCCTATCAGTAGTGGAAGTTGCTAGGGTTTACCTTGATGAAGTTTACAAGTTACATGGTCCTCCTAAAGTGGCTATTTCTGACAGGGATAAGTCTTTCACTAGTCTGTTTTGGCAAGAATTAATGAAGCAATTGGGTTCAACTACATTATTTAGTACTGCCTACCATCCTGAAACAGATGGCCAGACAGAGAGATTGAATCAATGTTTAGAACATATTTGAGGTGTATGTGTTTCTTGAAACCAAAGACTTGGTCAAAGTGGTTAGCTCAGGCTGAGTGGTGGTACAATACTAACTACCACTCTGCTCTACAGATGACACCATTTGAAGCCTTATATGGGTATAAAGCTCCTAATGTGACCTGGACAACAGACTCTAGGGTGGAGGCAGTGCAGAATGTCATGCAACACAGGGAACAGTTAAATTCATTGTTAAAGGAGCAACTACTTCAAGCTACCAATAGAATGAAACAGATGACTGATAAACATAGAACAGACAGGGAATTTCAAATAGGCGATGAAGTTTACCTGAAGCTCCAACCATACATACAAACATCGCTGGCACTACGAAGAAATTTGAAGCTTGTTGCTCGATATTTTGGACCCCACAAAATTCAAACAGAATTGGTCAGGTTGTTTATAAATTAGATTTGCCAGCAAATTCGAAAATACATCCAGTCTTCCACGTGAGTTTACTTAAGAAGTAGGGAAAAAGGGACTTATCTCGATCGATCCTCCAGAGGTAGCGTCGGATGGACAATTGAAGATTTACCCAGCCCTAGTTTTGGATCAGCGAGTGATTACAAGGCAGAATCGAGCAGTCATTCAATTGCTCATCCAGTGGACGAATATGGGACAAACAGAGGCAACTTGAGAGGATTACACAGTATTGCGACAACAGTTTCCTCAATTCGATCCTTGGGGACAAGAATCTTCTGCAGAAGGGGGTATTTTTATGATGACAGGAAAGTTAGGGTTTGATTGTAGTGAATTGGGGGAAATTTCGAAGATAAGAATTGAGAAGCAACAGAAGAATTTGGGAGAGAATTGAACGAAATTAGGGATTTAAAGGGGAGTTAGGGATTGACATTCGATCTGAAGATTTGGGAATCGGACAAAAGAGGATGCAGAGTATGAGATACGGCTGAGGTTATAGGAGGGGGTGTGTTAGTGGGTTTATTATGTCTTACCCAATTTAAGTTACTGGTGGGCTTATATGTGGGCTTGAGTCTGATATAATTATATTAAGAGAGAAGTTTGGATAGTGAGTCAGCAAAGGCAATTATTTTGTTAGATATTTTGTACTGACAGCTGGTACTAGTAATATATAATTTGTACCAATCCTTTAAGGATTTTTATCTTATGAATGAAGAACGTTTTCGGTACCTAAATCTCTCTATTTCTGAAATCCCTAAAATTCTTCTACATTCTTATCCTAAATCATAACACAAAGCCGGTCATTTGCTGCTACGTAAGTTCATGTTCAGGATGACTTGGCCAACCATTGGAATTTGATAAACCAATGGATCAGGGAAATAAGTTCAAATTAGTGAAAGAAATGGAGCATGGGACAAATAAGAATAAGAAAAACAGATGTCACCGCAATTCATACCCTAGGATGTGCCTCTAAAACTTCGGCCATCCTTAATGCTGTTGAATTCTGTTGCTGTACAAGAAGATACAGTGTTTTCATGCCTCTGATGATCAGATATGCGGCATTCTGTTTAAACATAGAAACAAACAGGTTCTCTTTAAACCATGCAACTTAATTTTCAGACACAAATCTTCCAAGAATAAGTTGAACATCACTAAAGCATCGTTCTATAAGCAACACAATGATCTCCACCGACTAGAACCCAACCACCGTAACAACCTAGCCCTCTTCTTAACTCAGTTGACTTACAAAATTAATCTACTTCCAACTGAAACCAAGTATATATGGTTTGACATAAACACGAGACATCAAGAATATGTTTAATCGGATTCTGGAATTGGGAAACCTCACCGGGTTGAGGGTACCACCCAAAATATGATGCAAAGTACGAATTTAGGTAACCAACTTTTCACAACCGCTAATACAACCAGCAACAACCTGTGACATCAAGAATTACACGTTTATTGCTTGAATTAATGATAACTGATGGTGTGAGTGAGGATTACTGAGGAAGTAATTTCAAACTGACTAATTTAACAAGAAAGCATGTTTACGTCATTGTGTCCCCCAATAAATTTTGTTGCAGAGTGCAAAACAAGATCAGCACCCAGGGACAGGGCCTTCTGATTAAGTGGTGTAGCAAAGGTACCATCAATGCAGACAAGTGTTCCTTTACTGTGACAGCTTCAAAACTTTTTCTATATCAACGCATCTGAGGAATGGGTTTGTTGGAGACTCGGTAAAGAAAAGAGAACCTGCAGAAAAATCATAAATCACTCTCAAACTTGAAATGAATTGTTAGTTCAAAAGTAAACATAAAAGCATAACCATTTCCTATGCTACTGACTTTGTTCTATTAAGAGCAGACTCCGGGCCATCCACATCTGCTGGGTCAATAACAGTAGCCTGCATATAGGATGTGTTAAAATCAAATTTGATTTCTAATAAAAATATGTGTGCAACGAAACGTTCCAAATGGAGATGGATTCACAAGTAAAACAAATCAAAGTGAAAATGCTATGGAATTATGTGGCAGTACACTAAACCACAAGTGTATGTCGGCAAACATATTTTAGAATTGTTTGAAACGTGGCAACACAAATTTGTTTACGGCAAGCAAGGCAATAATTGAGAGAAATTGAGAAGTATCTTGAGTTTTCAAATGTCGGTTTACTAACTATATATATGTATAATTTGTAGCAGCATGAGCATGAAAAATACGAGTGAAGAAAAATATTGGAGAGAATAGAGAGAGAGTTTAGCAAAACTATAAGATGATTGTAAACTAACCGCAACTAGCATTGTAATATTGAGGTAGTGTCGTTGTAACGTATTTTGTTTCATATCAATAATAGTTCAAGTTATAAATTACCGAGTACCCATTTACGCTTCCAACAAGTGGTATCAAAGCTTGGTTCGAGTTTAACGTGGTAGAGAAAATGGCCAACATGATTCAACCACAAATCCCGAGATTGATAAAGACGAATTATGGCAATTGGAGCATTCAAATGAAGGCGTTACTAGACTCCCAAGATTGTTGGGATATCATCGAGGATGGTTACACTGAGCCTGAAAATGCAGCAGAAGCAGCCCTGGTCAATGAAGAAAAGAAGGTATTGAATGAATCTCGGAAAAAAGATAAAAGAGTGTTGTTCTTTATTTTTCAAGGAGTAGACAATTTACCTTTGAGAAAATTTCTGACGCGAAGACCACAAATCAAGCATGGGAGATTTTGCAAAAATCTCTATAAGGTGCCGAAAAAATAAAAAAGGTACGCTTACAAACTCTTAGAGCTGAGTTTGAGATGTCAAAAATGAAAATACATAAAATATCGATGATTATATTAGCCGTGTGAAAGCGATCGTGAATGAAATGAAAAGAAATTGTAAATCACTCGACGATATTAGAGTGATGGAAAACATTTTGCGGTCATTGACAAGAAAATTCAATTACGTGGTTGTGGCAATCGAAGAATCGAAAAATTTATCCCAAATATCGATCGATGAGCTTGTGGGTTCACTTCAAGCCCATGAGCAGAAAATGAAACAAAATAAAGATTCTGAAAATTTGGAGCAAGCTCTACAAAGCAAGATGAATGTCAACAAAGGAGAAGCTAGTAGCAGCTACACAAGGTCAAGGAAATCGTGGTAGATACAGAGGAGGACGAGGAACTCGTGGACGTGGTGATCAATCATATGGCACCGATCAAATAAATGAAAACAATTCAACATCAGGCCGTGGACGAGGATTCAGAAGCCGAAGTCGAGGCCGAGGTAGAGGCAGATATCAACAAAAAAATAAATTTCAGGTACAATGTTATAATTGCAATAAGTATGGTCATTATAGTTATGAGTGTAGATCTGCTCCTAAACAAGAAGAAAGAAATAACGTAGCAGCAGCTGAAGAAGAAAAAATTGAAAAATCTCATATATTCATCACTTATAAAGGAAATGAAGAATTCAAGAAAAATATTTGGTATCTTGATAATTGTGTCAGCAACCATATATGTGGACAAAAGGAACTGTTTGTGAAATTAGATGAAACAGTCTATGGGCGTGTAACTTTTGGAGATGACTCGCACGCAGAACTAAAAGGAAAATGTGAAGTCATGATTACTCAGAGAAATGGAGAAAATAAATACATTTCAGATGTCTATTATGTACCTGCTTTGAAAAGCAATATCATCAGTCTTGGTCAACTCCTGGAAAAATGATATGAAATGCTAATGAAGAATCGCTCGTTTGCCATCAAAAATAAAGGAGAATTGATAACCCAAGTTGATATGACTCGAAATTGTCTCTTTACAAATGATATTGAGTCGGGAGAAGTCAAGTGCATGAAGATTGCGATCAAAGATGATTCATGGCTGTGGCACCTAAGATATGGACATCTTGGATTTTCTGGTTTGAATTTGTTATAAAAAACAAGTATGGTGAAAGGACTACCAGGGATCAACCCTCTAAATCAATTATGTGAGGCTTGCATTAAAGGAAAGCAACATAGACAAAGCTTTAAAGTTGGTAGATTCTGGCGTACCCAGAGACCGCTGGAGATAGTACACACAGATATAGTCGGTCCTTTTGACATACCATCGCTTGGCGGTAACATGTATTACCTAACTTTTATTGATGATTTTAGTAGGAAGTGTTGAATTTATATCTTGAAATGAAAGTCAGAAGTATTAGAAAAATTGAAAGAATTTAAAGCAATGGCGGAAAAACAAAACGGTTAATATTTGAAGATACTCAGATCAGATAGAGGAGGTGAATATACATCAAAGTTATTTGAAGGATTCTGCAAAGAGCATGGCATCATCCATCAGCTGACAGTTAGATACACGCCACAACAAAATGGAGTTGCAGAAAGAAAAAACCACACAATCCTAGACATGACAAGAAGCATGATAAAAGGTAAGCAACTACAGAGAAATTTCTGGGCTGAAGCAGTTCGATGTGCAGTTTAACTATTAAACAGATGTCTAACAAAAAGTGTGAAGTATATGACGCCAAACGAAGCATGGAGTGGTCAGAAACCATGAGTTGGACACCTCAAGATTTTTGGATGCATTGCATATGCCTACATTCCTGAATAGACTAGAAAGAATCTTGATGACAGAGGAGAAAAATGTATTTTCATTGGCTATGATGAAAGAAACAAAGCTTACAGATTATATAATCCTCTTACCAAGAAGGTAATAATTTCAAGAGATGTCGAGTTTGATGAAGCATAATATTGGAGGTGGAGCAAAGAAGAAAAGAAAGTTGAAGGACTATTTTTTAATGAAGATAAAGATAAAGATGACAATCTTATCAATCAAGATGAACAAGCTGATGATCAAGGTCCTCAACAAAATGTACCATCGTCGACAAGCAGCAGCAGCGATGCTAACAACATAATAGAAAAATCTGAAACACCTCCCACAGAAATTCGAAGATCCACAAGAGAGAGAAGAATACCAAAAAGGTACAATGATTATGAACTAAATAATGTTTCAATTTTCTTCTAACTTTTGAATAGTAATCCAATAACATAAGAAGAAGCAGTTGAAGATGACAAATGGAAGAATGCAATGATTAAGAAATTGCATCAATAGAAAGAAATGATACATGGAGCTAACAAGATAACCAGAAGGTCGTAATCCAATTGGAGTAAAATGGGTTTACAAGACTAAGACCAATAAAGAAGGAAAGGTCGAGAAACATAAAGCGAGGCTAGTTGTCAAAGGCTATAAGCAAAGACAAGGAATAGACTATGATGAAGTATTTGCCCCAGTAGCAAGGATCGAGACCATCAGATTTCTCACAACAGTTGCAGCACAAAAAGGATGGAAAATTTATCAAATGGATGTGAAGTCGGCATTTCTAAATGGCTACCTAGAAGAAGAAGTTTATATTAAGCAACCACTTGGATACATTAAAAAGGGACATGAAGACAAAGTTTACTGACTCAAAGAAAACTTCGGAATGGGAAATCAAGTTTGAGGGGGAGTGTTAAAATCAAACTTGATTTCTAATAAAAATATGTGTGTGCAACAAAACGTGGCAAATGGAGATGGATTCACAAGTAAAACAAAGCAAAGTGGAAATGCTATGGAATTATGTGTAGTACACTAAACCACAAGTGTATGTCGGCAAACATATTTTGGAATTGTTTGAAACGTGGCATCACAAATTTGTTTACGGAAAGCAAGGCAATAATTGAGAGAAATTGAGAAGTATCTTGAGTCTTCAAATATGTCGGTTTAGTAGCTATATATATGTGTGTAATTTGTAGCAGCATGAGCATGAAAAATACGAGTGAAGAAAAATATTAGAGAGAATAGAGAGAGAGCTTAGCAAAGCTATAAGATGATTGTAAACTAGCCGCAGCTAGTATTGTAATATTGAAGTAGTGTCGTTGTAACGTATTTTGTTTCGTATCAATAATAGTTCGAGTTATAAATTATTAAGTGCCCATTTACACTTCCAACAGGATGACAACCAAAACACAAATAAAAATGAACCAAATTCAATATATTACTTCATAGAAATATAAAAATTTATGAAAGTCTAGCATAAAAATTGCTACAAGCTGCATTAGGTTCTTAATTCAAACTCGTTCTTGTATATTAAGTAAAAACCCTAAGAAAGAAATGGGGATTGTGTAAAAATTAAAAACTACGTATGTCTGGCTGCATCAGTATTTTCATAAGAAGCCATACCGAGATTCCCATTTTAGGAAGAATGGTCTCAATGAATATCCTAGTTTTTCGGTAGCAATCCGTTGTTGCCACAATATGTCCACCAGCAGAAACCAATGCCATCAGCATGACTGTGCTAGCACACATTCCAGATGCCATAATCAGGGTCGACTCATCCCCCTCAAGTGCACTGAAAAAGGAAAGATAACCTTATGAATGTTTCGAAGACAGATATAGCAGAGACATGCAAATGTAGTGTAATTAACAATGTATAATTAAAAATACAAGAGAGGCAACCCAACCTTACCTTCTCCTCTGCAACCACAGTGGTTGGATTTCCGTACCATCCATATTTTTTTATAGGAATATTAGGCCTCATTAAAAAACCCCTTCATGATTAATGGAACTCTGAAAAAATTCCTTAATCAGCAGAAGGAGGAAAAGAGTGCCTTGGATTTTATTAATAATAAACTTAATACAATAGATTACAAAAACCTAGAACTCCTTGAAGGAGATCGACAACCTAAATAGTTACAACCTTAAAAACAACATAAATATCAACCAAGTCCAGCCTTAGCTAGAGCGTCTGCCTCTAGATTAGCTACCCTATTAACCCATCTAATAACACCTTCACACAGTCTAAGTTTTTCAATAATATCTTTAACAATGTAAGCATAAACAACAAGACATGAAACGAAATCCCTAACCCAGTCAACTGCCACCCTGCAGTCACTCTCAATGATCAACCGATCCTTGAATTTGTGTCATATAGTGTGAAAGATACTTAAAGATAGATTTCAATTCCATCAAAGTAAGAGGACCAGGTCCTGCAGATTCCTTGTAAGTGTCTATGATTGTCCCGTTATCATCTCTCAAAACACCACCTATCCCACTTCTCTTCCAATCAGTAGTAGTAGCAGCATCGACATTTAATTTGATGAAGCCCTTTGGGGGAGGGGACCAATTAATCACAGTTGCAATCGGTTTGGAGTTAGGAGAATAAGAATCCCCTAAGGAAGGATCTGAAATAAGCAAATCCTTAGAGATCGATACCTGTTTGTACTTTGCTAAGTACCATGAAGCTAGCCTGAACCTAGCTAAAAAGAAGAGTTCTGCTTGATCTACCTTCCCTCCTTCAAATACAATATAATTTCTGAATTTCCAAATTGTCCATAGGACAACCCCTGGAATAAATGACCATATGGTCGAATTAATCCTCAAATCAGCCCATGCTAGGAGAAATATTTTTGCATCAACATGAAAGACAAATTGAATGTTCCAGAACCTAATAAATTTATTCCAAATGCTCCAAACCACCGAACAAATAAAAAAAAATGGGAGGGTGTCTCATCAACAATATCATACAAAATGTTAATGCAATGCAAAATTTTGGGACAACAATCAAATTCTTTTAGCTCGCCATTTCATTGAAACAAATAAGCAGAAGACATCATTTGTAGTGCGATTGGTTAAACGCAAACAGATGGCAGCCAACCCTAACAATGGCAACTTAACATATAAAAAACCAAACCATTTCTTTAATTCAAAACCTTTACAAGCACGCTAATAGGTCAACATAAACATTCTCTACAGAGACAGCAGATTAATTAACACTATTATTATTATTATTGTACCTTGAAGTCAATAAGCTCCTGAGTTTTCTTGAAGAAATATGCGGAAGTATTAACCACTGGAGTAGTAACTGCATCGGTAACTATACCGCGATCTAATATTTCACCTGCACAAATAAAAATATAAAACCCATCAGAAATGCGTTTGGATGAGTAATATTGTGCAATTTTGAATTTGATTTGCATCAATTCAGAATATCAGCATTTGTAATTGCATTGTTTGGATAAGAGTATTTAGAAAGAAAATTTTAATATTGGGAACTTGATGAGATAATAGTACTTGCAATAAAGAAATAACGATACTTGAGATAGAATATAAAAATACTGAATATAAATATGTAACAATTGTGTAGGTATATGATATAAAATGATCATTAAAGGCCTCAAAGATCGTGATTAAGGAAACAGTATATTAATAAGTTTTAGTTAATGATTGATTCTAAATAAAAAAAATGGATCGACATAAACCACAATTTTAGCTATCCTTTCTTTTCCGATCAGAGAAAAGTAGCTCCACTGTTTGAAATAAATAGATAAATAAATATTTCAACGAAACTGAAAATAAAAGTAACTATTTCGTTTACCAGCATGAACAATGATGCTCCCATCGGAGCTCAAAAACGATGTCTTGGAATCGCATAGATCCCCAATCTGTACACCACCGTTGTCTATACAACCATCTACAACCGCCACATCATCAGAGACGGGGCGGGAGGCTGCGGCTGCCTGAGAAGCAGCAGCCACTGCCGAGGCCGGGTAACGAGAAGAAGAACCGTTGGACCAAGAAGCCGCAACAACTTGCGCGACACCGATGTTGCTACAGTTGCGTCGATCCCTGACGCTGAGCTGACGGACGAAGTTGGGCGGGAAGCGAAGGATCGGAGACGACAAACCACCGCCTCCGGTAGAAAAAAAAAAAGAAGGCGTCACCCGTCGGTTCGAGCGGAGGTGAGGCTTGTCCCCAGTCGGTGCACCGGAGAAGTCTGGATCGGAACGGCACTCGTATGAAGAATGAGCATTGAAAACCCATGGAAGAAAAGAACACGAAGATACAGGTGCAGCCATTGGTTTTACGACACCGTTTCACCTCTCTCTTATTATGCTTTGCGACTTCTCCGGAATGTGAAGAGGCTCCCTGTTCTTTTTCTCTTCATTGGCTTCTAACAGCTTAAATACACGAATCCCGTTGAGGTTTCGTGGAATTTTCTTTTAGTTGCTCACTTTTATTATTTTCGTTTTTATTTAATTAATATATAATCAACTTAACATTATTGTTAAAATTTTAACAATTCTTGATATATTAACAAATAAATAAAATTAAAAAGGACAAATTACACAAACAATCATTAATATTTAAATAAATTTTTACTTTTTACTGAAGTTTTTAAAATGACAAATTGATTGATATCATTTTATGATATACATCTCTTAAGTGATTTCTTCATCTCCTTACCCCCATACCTCCCATAAGAGTCGAAGAATACCTATAAAATAAAGTCATGAAAAAAAATACACCTTTGGATTGAAAATTTTCCAAACTTTCTTACCCTCAAATACTCGTCTTCATCAGTATGAAATACTTCATCAAATTTCTGTAACCCACTTTTTGGGTTAATAGATTATAGAGATAGATAATAAAAGAATCATAAAGAATTATTTGATAATTTAGTGACTAATTTGTTAATTTTAAAATTTTAGTGAAAAATAAAAGTTTACTAAAATATTAGTAATAATTTGTGTAGTTTACCCTTTTAACTTTATTTATTTTTGAATAGTATGAGGTATGTAAAAGGCAGAATATGTCCGAAGATAACTCTTAACCTTTCAACACTGAACGCTCACACCCTTGGCATCTATAGTGTTTAAACTCGGGTCATCGGGAATAAAAACAATTCAGTTACTACATATGCCACTTGATTCGTGTCTTTTTAACTTTATATATTCATTGTGATATGTCAATAACTTTCAATGATCACATCTTAATTAAATAAAAAAGTTCAAATATTATTTCTTTTGAATTAATTATTATTATCGATTTATAATAAATCAGTCACTCATTGTTAATAGTCATTACTAGAGGTAACAAAATATTAATGCAGTGCATTAGATTAATAACCTAACTCTAATTTACTACACGAGACGATTACACATGTTGATCCTTTGACATCTCACAACTTTTGACCAGGTTTTAAGAAGAAGAAAAAAGTTGAAGAAAGATATTCTTCTTTATTCTTCTCCACCATGAATCACAGAATGTTGCAGAACTCATTGGTGCAACAACGGATAGTTGAAAATCTTTCTAGTCAGTGAATTTCTCACTATCATGATCTATCAACATCATCCCGAGTCCTCCTACCTTCATCATCCCATCTTCATTTAGACTCTCTAATGCTTGAGACTTAGTGTCATTCGTACCCTTATATGTATTGTTTCGCCCCTTTGCTGGCCCTCACAACACAATATTCTCCTTTTGTTTTTTGTAATCATCTATGGACTATTGATTCCTCACTATGTTTTGGTTATTTAAATCCTTCATTGCAACAGATGCATTCAAATTTTTATTCTTGTTTTATACATCAATCAAGCCACATACCTCTTTTGCATGAATAGAAAGTACTAACGGTTTATTCGAGTCAACCATAATCACAAGTCGTACAAATAACTTCGTTCCCTATAGACGTGTTATAATCAATTTTAAGCACCATCCGAATTATTTTCTCTCAACAGAAAGACTTATTGATTAGGAATAAAACCCTTCATTACATAATATAACTCCTTATGTAAGAATTACAAACTAACGTGAAAACAGGATACAACACCCTTATAATAGCATACGGCTAAAACACTACAGTACATCTGAAGCGAGCACTAAAACAGAAGAACCCAAACACCTTAAGGCATTGTCTTAGATTTATTGCGACCATAAGAAGGGTGTCATTTTTCCTTGAAATTTTTAATCTAAGCAATTATATTTGTACAGTGTATGTTATTATTGATTAAAAAGATTATGAAGAGATGTTACTTTATAATTACTTTATATTATTAAAATAATAATCTCAATCGTTAAATTTCATAGTTTAAATTGTTATTTTATGAAAAGAAAATCAAAAAAAGTGAACTGTATTAAACACAAGTTACAGTAATTGTTTGATTCTATGACGTTTTAGTGGCCAAATTGATGGTAGTGGTACAATTTGTATTCCATTTGTTTTGTAACACCCTTCTACCTAGGGATGGCAAACGGGTACAGTTTTGTGGATTCCGCACCGCACCCGCTCCAATTGGGGCGGGGATGGGTATAATTTTAGCGGGTAGTGGGCGGGGTGTGGATTTAGAAAGTGATACCCGTCATGGGTAGTGGGCGGGTAATGGGTTTGAGACATTACCCACCCCGCATCCGCCCGCCCACTTTCTATTAAATATGTAGGTAGTAGTGAATTTAAATTGGAGCGCTCTCAATTGGAGGAAATAGAGAATGATGATTGTAATACTGGAGTATCAGATGTCACAAGTATTGCCTGAAATTTTAGAATGTTGTGCCAAAGAACAAAACATTATGTGTTTGTCATTTATGTTTATAAACTTTAATTATGTCTTTTATTATGGTGTTTTATGTACTTTAAGATCTATATTAAAATTTAACTCAGATAATCCTTGGATTATTTTATTATGTTTCTTAATGGATATGTTTCTTAATGGAAATGTTTTTTTTTTATGTTT